TGAGTTTATGGTTATGACATCGAAACCAAAATCCAATCATCCCAAATCTTCCCTAGCCTAAATAGCACATTCACAATCTTTCATAATAGCTCAACTATATAAGGTCAGGTGGTGGAACAAAAATTTTAGAATTATAATCAATTTGTTCAGAAATTTGGTCATTATCAGAGAAAGTTACTTAAGTTTTCTAAAATAGAATAGTTTTGAATAAAAAATTTACAATATCAATCATCATGTTTTGCAAGGTCATACCTAGTACCCTAACTGTGAGAATACTTAAAACATTTATATAATAGCTACCATTTTTTGTTAGAAGAAAGTTTAATTGCATTGACTTCACTAATTTAGTCTTGATTCAATCACAAATGATAAAATGTGATGTGTCAGTGTCAACTTTACCAATAAGTATAGGGGGTGAAAATATAGCTATGAAATTGTAATACACTACTTGACTTTTAATAAAGTTAATTCTCTTAAACAGCAACAGAAAATGTACTTTATGAGACCCGTGGATAGAGCTATCTAACTCAGCTCTCTGCAAACAAGGAAAAGCAATTATCTGTAGGAAACTAATGAAAATCAGTGGTTTTATCAAAGAGAACAATTCTAAAAATAAATAGATTACGAATATATCACATCCAGTTGTACCACAACTGGTTTCTTATTCCTTTTTAATATTCATTTTCGTCAGTCAACTCATAATTTTAATGAAACAGTTGAATTATAGGTAGATGTCTTACAAGATATTTCTTGGATAGAATTTTAAATTTACTTTAATCTTTTGAAAAAAATATCTTCCAGGTGAAACATCTACTTACTGAAAATGAATTAATGAAGCCTAAAATATTTCAGAATATTCCATAAGGCATCTGTACCAATTAAAAATTCCTCATAGAGTGACATAACTAAAATTCATATCAAATATATTGTTCAAGGAAATTAACTTATTTTCCTATAAAAAGAAAGTTTACATTTTTAATGTGAGAGATAAGATTTCAAATCATCAAGTGATACGTTTAATCAGTATATCATTGGTATATATTTTTTTGAATGACAGATACTACAATGGAATAAGAAATTAAAACAAATTTCAATAATACTTTTTATATACATTGTACTACTGTATGGTTTTTATTGTGCTTTGAAGTTTATTGTTGGTTGAACTACTTCAGATAGAAAGTTTGGACAAACAAACCAAGAAACCAGGAGTAGACAAGTATGTTTAAACTCACGAAATAGTTCAAGTGATGTCATTCAAAGGAAGAAACACTAGTTTAGGACAAAGTTCAAAGAAGCTGCATATGACAAAGAACCCATCAACTCACTGTAGAAATTACAAAAGTATAGAAATTCTCAATTTCAAAAATTTCTATAAAATCAGTAAATGAATAATCACACATCTCTGTTATCACCCAACATAAGACAATATAAAAAAAAATATAGTGAGACTCGATTTTTTCATTATTTTCTGTAATTTATTTATTAATGATAACACTCCCTTTAACTCTATGATTAATTTCATCTCTCAGCTTCTTTTTCTTTTCAATCACATATCCCATATAATTATTGCATTTACTGATGTATACAAGTTTGTTTACCTTTCTGATGATTTTACTTCCCCTTTCATTGAAAAGCGTAAAGGAAAACAATGTCAAGGAAAGATCCTCTTAGTCAGACCCTTGATATCCAATTCATGTGATGAGATTTAATAATTCTTAAATTGAATAAGTGCTTACTAGAAGGGAAGTTAAGTCGGAGTAAAATGAGATAAATATCTTTTAGAAGGCACGAAATGAAACATTATTTAAACCAAAATATGTTCAAATAATCAATTAGTTAAACCAAAATAGAGGATATCACTGCTTAATAGAAAACAAGAGATAACGACAATGTTTGTTTGCTTTCATCATTCATTATTAGTAGATATATATTTTATCCAATGACTTTGATGTACATGTTTTTTTTTCTAAAATGAATATTTGCTCTTCGAACTGATTATGCTGTTTTCTGATTTTCTGAGAATTCCCTATCAAAGATTATTGAAGAAAACTACTGAGTTTGCAATAAAATTGAAACACCTATTTTGTTGAATTTGTTAATAACCTAATACAAATCTGTGTATCAGTACAATAAGAGGGTTACATATTGAACTCCATCGAACTAATGTATACTTAATGAGTGTCTGACTCATCTCATGTCATTAGGAAAAATACTAATTTGTCATTATCTTCTGATATCAGGCACACTGCAATTATTTCCAGGAAATTGAAAAGTCGTTTATTGAAATGATAACATTGTCTTCATTTTACAGTTAACTCTAATTGAGTACGAACTGAATAAAACAAATGAGACAAAAAATATTTCTTCAAGGAACTACACTTGAATATTCCACTGAAAAAATATAGGAAAATGTGGCATTATTTTTCAGTTTTGATAATGTAGAGGCAAAGTTTGTTTGAAAATTTTTTCAAGTCTGAATAAGAAATCAATTTTATTCTGCTAAAATATATTTTGTTTCATTTTAGCAATACTTTTTTATAGATTTCCACAGCATAAGTATTTAAAGTTATTCTATTATAATTTAAACTATCAGTTGCCTGCTACTTCATTCGTGTGAACTTATAATAATATAATGAAAGAAACTGATTTGAAAAATCGTAACCTGACCGGAATTTGAAACCAGCTGTCTTTTTCGCTAGACAAGACACCTTATTCAACTATAACTATTGTCATTTTATTGTAGAATCGCTCACATATAGGAACATAATCAGGATTTTATAATGCAAATCTCATTGCATGAAATAAACCAAATATAAATACTAGGTTATAATTGAATTCAATGACAATGTAATCTTCAAATGCATTAAGTTCAGTTTTTGAGTTCACAATAATTAACAAATTTCACACTCCTGCGCTAACACCACAAAAGACTGAAATATGAATGTGATTTAACTGTCATTTTGCTTGGTGGCTTCAATTGGTTTGGTTGGTTACTGCGCCTGTTTAGTGCGCCTGTCAGTTTTACTTTCATTTATATAGTAATTTTTCCAAGAAATGTTTGAACTGACGCAAGTTTTTTATTTAAGAACTGATGGAAAAAATCAAATAATGACTCCCAAATCGGTTTAACTGTTTTTAAAAGTAGCGTGCACAAACATATAGACAAAAATTCTGAATATCACTGCTTTGGTTTTTTATGTGATTATAAAGACTCACACTAATGTTTTTCTCAAACATCTTCCATGTACTGACAACAATCATTTACTCTTTTACTACCTATATGTATTCATGATTTTGAGCCTCCCAATAATTCAATAAAAAAAATAAAGTCTTATTTCAAAATAGTTTCAACTCGTTTGGATTTAATTGTTGAATTCAATCAACCAATACTTTTCTGATTTGAGCAGCTTTTTGGTAATAGCAGAACCTGGGATGGAATATACTGAGAATTACCTTTTTCTACTCCAAAACTTTGACATATTTTCACTGCTAAACATTAGATCAGATACCTAATATGTGTTAAACTCCAAAACAGTGATTGAAACGTGTTTTGAAAAAAAATTCACAGTTTTTAAGTTGACGAAAATCAAAACGTTGAAAGAATAGTTCACCTTGAAAATTATATCATCATCTGATTGATTTGATTTTCAAATTCAATTCTTAATGTGTGAATTCCTGTTAAAATTTTCAAGAATATCCAAAAATTATAGATAGACTGTATATTATCTTTGAGGCCAGTACATTATTATGTGTAATTTGATTACCATTTATTTCAATTACCTAATGAAAATCCTGAATTATTCCAAGGGGTGAGTGCTTAGGAGAACCCTTGGAATAATAAAGGATAACTGTTATAATAATATATGTATATCTATGTATTTTGTTATATTGAATTGAAAAATTGAGGAAAGTATTTCCATAAAAAAAGGCGAGCATATTTATTCTGCTTTTAACCAATCTCCTACATAATAAACGTCAACAGTTGGAATAAAGAAATGAACTTATATATGAGAGATTCTTCAGATCCTTCAATTTTTTTATATTTAAAAACCATCATTCAATAATAAAACATGTTCAAATCATTACAAGGTAGATTTCCATCCATTGACAATATATTTCATAACTGTTTTATAAAGAAACTACTTCATTGGAAACTTCAAAAGATTTAAAATCTATGTTAATCTAGTCTTTTTCATACTTGAAACTAAATATGTTGTGGAACTTGGAATAAATTGACATATGTCCCCATACGTGCTTTCCTTTTTTTGAGAGGGTGCACCAAGACACCTAATTTGAGTTTAACCATTGGTTTAAAAATTACATTTAACAAATTCAACCAATAGTGACACTAAAATTAAAAACCTCCATGTAGGAAACCCTGCATAAAGACCTACATTGTAACCAATTAATAAGGTTTGTATCCTCAGATCTCCTGAAGATGCCAACTTGGTTAGCGAAACGGGCGTCGAAATACCGTATTTTTATTCCGGTGTTGGGAAAGTGTTTTCAATAGGTTCGTTTTACGCCAGAGGTTCAAGTACGAACTATCATGTCATTTTAAAATGAACATTTTACTCTTCAAACCCCTCGAATCTTCAATCATTCAAAATGAATAACTTTTTGAATGTTTTGTTGATCCCTATTTCCTTTCTATTTATTCAAGCCTTGATATCAATACAATAGTTAGTTGAAAGAATACCGAAAAAATAAGTGTTAAATCTCCTATTGTTTTATTTCACTCAAAAGCCACTTTCAATTAACAAATAATTATAATTCAGCATTAACAATGTAACGTAATTCACACGGTTCTGGTACACTGACTTTGAACTTTTTTAAATTGTACTAGATATTCAGTTTCACCTTTGAAAATAATTAAGGCCTCTGGAAAATACTACATTCAGTAAAAGCATTTGTTTATGGATATTCCAGAACACAATTGTTATAATTTTTCCAGATTGAGCACATGATAAAAACTGAGAGATATTTACACGAAAACTTACTATTTCGCAGAATCAGTGAGTTGATACTCCCTGCGTCTATCATAACATTCTTGGATGCCTGCATCGTTCCAAAGGTCTTTGATAGCTTCTACATAGGGACTCTCAAATGTAGTCACTGTCTCATAGTCAATACTCTTGATTAATTCTGCTTGATCCTGGAATGAAAAAGATTGTGAAAATGAAAAGTAAGACACATCTGTGAATGAAATAAATAATGTATGTATTGTACCTAATGAAAAGTGGTGGAAAAAAGTGACTCGGACATTGTCTCACCTGACTGCCAGGGGATCCATACTGAATTTTCAAGAGATCCATGGCCTTTATCATGCTTTGCATTGCCATGAATATGTTTTGAAAAACAAGTTTGATGAACCCTCGTTTATCCTCATCTGAATAACCTGCTCCATGGATAATTCGCATCTGTTTGATGAAAGTTGATTTGCCCGATTCTCCAGTTCCTGTAATGAAAAGCACCGTATGTATTATACATTTAAATTATAATTTACTCTACACATTAAAAACAAAAAATAAATAAATAAAAAATGTGTTCATCTATTTTCAAACTTATATCGGAGATATGAACATAAATGTGAAAAATGAAATATGATTTGAAAAACGTTTGAAAAAATTTTGACCTAAATTAAGATAGTAGATAGTTGAACATTATCTATGATAATAATTATACAATTTTTGCAATAAATTTTATTTGAGACACGTTTCCCTAAGTGATATCAGTTGGAGAAAACTACTTGATTTTCGTCAGGAGGAACATTCCCCATTATATTGAGAGGAAACCGATATACTCCCATAATTACAATGTTAACAACCCTAAATTGGCTTTTGGTATCCCAGAGACTTTTATACCAGACAATATTTGTGCATAAAACTGTTAATGATTTATCTGGAACATATCCTAAAAAATCTATTTGTTTTAATTATGATATTCATAAATATTACAGTAGACATAATCTTTTTCATACATATACATCATCTCTTTCCTTGATTTTACTATTTACTTCATTATCAAACCATGGTACACTATTTTTAAGTTGACATATTCTTAATGGTGCTATATTGTTGATAACTGCAAAACAATTATCAATGATTTCTTGATAAATAAAATTTACATCTACTGAACTCAATGCCTATTAGCATGAAATCAAATTAGTTTTTATTTTATCAAGATTACCCTCACAAAAATTTCCATATTTTTTTGTAATATTGTTTTTTGCTTTTTTATTTTTTTATTTGATAAGACAATGGCTGCTTTCGATGAAATATTCATCATCCAGCATATTATATAACGATTTGGTGTTGGGAAAAAACTCCAGTAATATTCATTACTACACCAAAGGTTCCAAACAGTAGTAATATCAGAGTAGGTGGTTGTACACTTTGATTCCCATAACTGTGGGACTCGTTATTTAAAGAGTATGGTTTGGAATGATTTCTTGCATTTCCTTTAAATATGGATGTGTATTAACTGGGCGGTTGGCTTGGTGCTTTCTAACATGTGCAAAGCAAGCTATTTCCAGTATATACAGGTTGATCATTGTTAAAATGCCTGGGCATTTAATAAGTGGGTTGCATGGTTTGAGATAATGAGAAGATCTCATACATATAATTATCAGTTTTTGTGCATTCAATATATTATTCACTGTAGATGAAGTCCCCGATAACATACCACAGCTGGGACTCAATTTCACTGTGATAGACAGATATAGTCATCGAGTCATTTAAAAATTCTCTAAGAATTTTGAAAAGATAAAATGTTTGACCCAGAGTAGATATTAGCATAGAGCAGTGAACTCCCCATTTCCAGTTCTCCTCTAGGTATACCTCTAAAAATTTAGCTAAGCTGTTTTGTTTGAGGTGCTTTGATTCTCTAATTATTGTATATGAATGGTCTATAGTTTTTGGCATGGTTGAAACTTTATGAAGTTGGTTTTGGTTGTGTTCAAGACCAGATTATTGCCTTTCGTAGACACATCAGTTAATTCTTGAGAATGGTAAGTTGGCTCCTTTTGATGACAAAAAGAAAATTTTAAATTACAGTTCTGCTGTAGAAAAAAACTTGAGCGATCATATAATTCAATACTAATGTTATATGTTTGTGTTGATAAACAATACCACAAATGTGAATGTCATTCCAGTGTCATTCGAGTGTTCCTTAAATGTATTTCACTCAATTGACTCTGTGATCACTTGGTATCAAATCTGCATCTGCTCGATTGGCTCCAGATTTTTGAACCCACCACATTTTGCAATTAGCCTCATGTCCTGTGCTATTTATTGCCTCATGTTAGCTTGTTTAAAGTTAATATGAGGGATATTATATTTTTAGGAGTGATTGATTTTTGGGAAAGAAAGTTTTTGCCTTCCTACAGATTCCTTTTTGCTGGGATTTAATCAACTAAGCGAATGAATGTCATTACGATGCCATCGATGACATGAATAGATCAAATTCATTCCGTGACATAAAATCGGAATTTATGAATAAATTGTGTGTTTTTCCTTATAATGTTATCTATATGTGTGATTGATGACTTGTTTATTTTGTGGTAATTCATGATCACTTTCATTCATTTTATTAAAATGTTATCCATATTGGTACTGAAAAGCCCTTGGCAAGAGTCTTACAGCGAAACACCTATGGCTTCCAGTGATGATGACAGTGTTCCATATAAGTTACCTTTCATATAGTAAATTGTATAAAAATCCTGTGAATGATATCTGATTCAGTTCCATAACAAATGTTTGGAATACAAACTGAGTAGAGTGATTTCTGTATACTTCAGTGTTCACATTAAAGTATTCGTTTCGAAAGAAGTTTTTTTCATATATTCATGTTTACATGAAAGTAGCTGTTTCAGAAGGGTTTTTTCTTCCAGTTTGTGTGAAAGTTACTTCATTGTATGATCTACACATCTATGTACAGAGTAACTTCTTTTAAAATTGATTGCTTCCTTCCTTTCTTTGGAAGATTCCCACATTTTTTTGTGTCAAGATGGAGAAGTAGTAAACTAAAAAACTTTTCCCAGGAATATTCTATTCACTGAAATCAGAATATTTTACTCTAATAACTTCAATACCTTGTAGAAGTGTTGAAATTTCTGATAAATTGAAGTACCTTTCAAAAAAAGTAGTCCCATCAAAATCTTGAATATTTCAAAGCAGGTATAAAAAGAATTAAAGGATACTGAGAGGGAATGAATATGCAATTATAGCAGATTAAAAAAGAAAATGTATTTAGTTCTGCCAGTTCAATGATTACTATCAGAATCGACATGTTTTTTCAACAACTTGAAAAGTATCAACATTAAGAAGGTGAACGATCTAAAATAAATTTAAAATTTTGGTTCAGATAAATAACAAAAATAGCCCAAAATTAAGCCAAAAAATTCGTTATTTTTTTTGGTCTGAACACCAACCTACTTGGATTAACATTATATAGATGATCAAGATTGACCAATATATTTTTCCTGCAATATCAAACATTTTCTAAACAATTTTTGTTAAAGATTATATTATTAAAGTTTGTACTGTCAAGGCAGAAATTAAATTTGAAAAGTTGAACTAGTTGAGTTAATATATGATGAAAAATTTGTCAATATCTTCTGACACTTGGTTTCTAAACCTCATGACATAACTTGCTGAAAAAAGTATATTCCCATTATTTCCAGACTACATTTTTACTTCTGTATCCCTCTAAGATATTTTCAAAGCTCTTTGAAAAGTTTTTCAAAATCGGGCTTTTAACCATGTACTCTACCTTCACCCAGTTTAAATAACACAATTATTTAGCTTCCTATTTCTTCAAGACCTAAATTATGTGTTGACATTCTAGGAAATATCAGCTCCAAGAAGTTATGTATTTTAATCGAGTCTGATAAACACCCACATCAGGTCATCGGGTGCAAGTTCAAAACAAATGAAATGAACATTTTAAAGAAGAATATGTAATAAAATTATGAATATACTTCAGGGACGGGAATCGTACGTACCGAGAAGGAGCAACTTGAGCTCTCGTCGGGCATCTCGTTTGTCTCTGCGGAGCTGTTTTTCGATTTCCGCGTTGATTCTTTTTTGTTCCCGAGCCTCATCTGACTGACAACACTGCATGGTCGAGGACTTGATGGGGCCACGATTGACATCCACGCCGTTCTATTGCACAAAAAACACACCTACAATTTGACACTTCCCATAGCGGCCACCATCGTAGTAAGCTGGGTGTGGTGATTAAATTTGACCGATGACATGCTCTTATAGTCGTGTTAGCCCTGAATTTAATCTTATTATCGTTAACTAGATTGAAGAAGCCTCTAGTTCGAACTGTTAAGGGGATTAACGAATACCAGTAACAATTCTGGTTACGTTCCCAGTGACCGTTCCGGACAAATTCGGGACGAAAAACACTGCACTTAGTCCCACTAGATTGACACAGATTTGGGTGGACAGTTCGCAGAAACGTCCTCCATCGCGCTTAACAACACCTTTCGTAGCTTTGCACATTAAAACAACTCCATTTCACTATAAACGCAGCCGCCTATTGTCAATATGGCGCTGCCCTGAACATTGGCTCAAAGAAACTACGCATGACAGGAAGTATTCGATATGAGATCCAACGACCTGCCGGGAAATTTGATTTTATTATTTTTTTCAATCAACTGAATGATTTTGAATTTGTTGAATAACTCTTCAAAAATTTGCCAATTATCACATTTGAAATATTTCGGTTGGAAATCAAAATCTAACAATTTTTATTTCAAATAAAGGTTTAAATGTATCACATAATGATTTGTGATCTTTTATAGAGGTGAATTAAATCGAAATATTGGATAAATGATACAAGAGCAATTATTTATATATGAATACTGAAAATTAATACTAGGATTTTAAATCAACGACTGGATTTTGAATTGTTGCCAAATTGACCATGAAAAATCGCCATAAGTATAAGTGAAGGATAAACCATCATCTTCCTTTGAAAATTTTCTATGTGAATAATCGGATTTCGTAATAAATCTTTTTATTTCAAATTTTGACAAAAATATTTATAATCTTTCATCCCCTGTAAATCTCAAAGAATTTTTTTTGGTATTTACTCCGAACACATTGCCAGGATAAATCAAGTGAATTTGAATGGAATCCACACACACTTTTGAAATTCTCATTGTTTATATATGAGACCAATAGGAAAACATATAGGTATGTCTTTGTTTTTAAATATTTAAATTTTGAAATGTACATTAACTCAAACAAAATTATGAACATTGCTCAGAATTACTAATAAAAACTGTAATTTCTTCAAAATACGAAATTGTAAATACCAATGTAAATACTAATTTATTGGAAATTACAGAAAATGTACAACTAGCGGTATCTAGTGGATAAATGAATTGTTACATTCGACGACAGTTCCAAGTTTTCACAAAGAGGGCTTGTCAGTTATCAAATTGAAATATTTTCATCAGTGTTGCCAACTTAGTGGATTTTCCTCTGAATCTGGTGGTTTTGACTTGTCTTTTAGCGGACAAATATTGATTTTAGTGGCTAGTGGATTTGTTTAGTGGAATTTAAGAATTTAGTATTTTTTTTCTTAAACATTGGAACGACAACTATAAAGTCCACTCGTACCGTTTTTGGAGTTCAGTTTCATCGTGCAGCAACACTCTTTCATCTAATGGGTAAAACAGCCAAAAGAACACGCACCCAGGCCACAAACTCTTTAAAAAATGACAGTAAATTATCATTATCGGGAATTCCCTGACACCCCGACGGGAAATCCCTATTCTCACTCAAGTCTACATTTTCGTTCGAGCTCAGTGAGTTGGTGTCGGTTTGTTTCGTGTTTCGTCATTAATAACCATGCCGAAACCACAATATTCACAAAAGTTTCGGGATTCTTGACTTCAAGACCCACATTTAAAAGATTGGCTTCAAGTAATTGAAAGTACTGCAGGTCAAGTACCGAAATGCAAGTTTTGTGGAAGGATTTTACGGATTCACTATGGAGATATAAAAACTCAACTATAGGTGAGGTTTTTGTATATTTTTATTTACATTTCCACAGGTTATCGTTACGAAACCTAAGTTACCGTTCAAACAAGAGCCTGTAGGAAAAAAGAGAAAAGAAGAAGCCAGACTCGCATTGTTCACAGCCATGTGAACCGTGTATTTGCCACTTGGGTGAGGTAATTAATCACAGTCATGAAATAGATATCGATAAAGTACAACTACACTAAACTAAGTGCACTTCGGTTATTAAAAATATATTGGCGTTGCATTTTACACAAATCCTAAAAGAAGATATCAAAGATCAACCCTACAGTATATTGGTTAATGAGTCTACAGATATTGCAATACAATACAATACAATTGCAATACCTTGGAGTCATTATAATTTATTACCGTTTTAGATACCAAAAATTAGTATCTACCTATCTAGACCTTGCTGAACTAACTGAGTGCAATTCTGAAGGTATTATCTCTGCTATCAAGAAGACACTGAAACGATTTGATCTGCGACTTGATGATTTAATGGGAGTTGGTACAGACAATGCTTCTGTAATGGTTGACGTAAATAATGGGGTCTATACTGAATTGAAAGAAGAAGTACCACAATTAGTTTTGTTACGTTGTTTATGTCACTCTTTGCAACTGGCTGTTTCAGCTGCGGCCAAGCAATTTTTGCCGAGGAATTTGGAGTTTTTAATTAGAGAGACGTATGACTGTGGTTTGCTCATTCATCTTCCAGACACACTGCGTATAAAGAATTATATAAAATCATCAACGAAAGACAAAAACCGCATAAAATTGTTCAAGCATGCCAAATAATATGGCTGTCAATAGAGTCTGCTGTGTCGAGAATATACACGCAATGGCTAGAGTTGAAAACTCATTTTTCTTCAGCTAAGTTGCATGAAAGATGCCATACGGCAGAGTTATTGCACTCTATGTACGCGAACGAGATGAATTAGGCGTATATTTCGTTTTTATATCCAATATTGATTGAGATAAACAGAGTTTATAAAATGTTCGAGTCAAAAGATACAGACCACACATTATTGTGTGGCGAGTTGACCAACCTGATAGATATGCTTGTCAGCAAGGTTACGTTACCTACACATAAAATTAATATTTTTACCCAAAATGTCCGTGACTTTTTAGATCCAAAATGCTATCTGGGATACCGATTTAAAAAAATAAATACTCGAAATGCGAGAAAAGGGATTACCAAGGGAAGAGGAAGAAATAGTGCGGACTCGGTGCATGCAATTTATAGTAAGTTTAATTGACGAAATAAAAAATTGGCTTCCAGAAAATGTGGAATTAATGAAAAAAATTTCACGAATAAGTGTCGAAAAAGCACTTAGTCATAACAAAGAAGATCTAATAGACATTATGGCTCAATTAAATAAAAGTTCTGAATTAATTGCGGAAGTGGACGATTAATCGCAACAAATTTATTTATTGAAATGGCAGGAAACCAAAAATACAAAAATATGTTGGTCCTGCATTTCAAAGATGTATAAGGGGTTTCAAGATTTCACGAATTGGTGACTTTCGCGATCACTCTTTTAGCAGTTTTAGCAGTATGAATATAATAAAAAACAAGCAGAGAAACAGGATGGGGTTTAATCTTTCAACTGCTATATTAAGAGTACGCTGCGGAATGAAGATAGTGGGAAAATGCTGCAACGACTATGAAATCCCAAACAATATTGTGAAATTAATTGGCATCAGACAAAGAGTCGTACCAATCGGAGACTAACGATGATGGTACGGACGAAAACGACTCATCTGAAGATGACTTAATAATATAATTTCATTATATTTTTTACATAATGTGTAATTTTAATGTTATTTCTCCAATTAATGTATCTTTGGAATATTGTTTTCTTTCGCGATGAACAAAAATTTACTGAACATAAATTTGGTGGAAAATTTAGCATTTTTCTAAACTGATGTGATTTTTGTTAGTGTATTTCTGGTGGTTTTAGAGGTCGCTTCTGGTGGGTAGCTTGATACTTTGTTGGCAACACTGATTTTCATATTTTCATTAGATAACAGTAAGCGGTGCTGGCGTTTGATTTTGATAGTTAAAAAAAAACGATAAGAGAATTTTCTTTCACTGTTTGAGATTTCTGAGGCTCCTATCAATCATTCAAATTCGAGTGTCTTCGCTATTGGCACAAGGACTCTCCTCTCATTCTGAATGTTTCGTCTTATTTCATCGAGTCCACAACTTAATTCTGTAAATTTTGACCTTATCTCGAGATTTTGACTTTTTTGTGAAGTTTAGAGTTTGATGAAAAAAATAGATATCGAAAATGAAGTCAAAGTTGCACAACTCCGTTATTAGAAGCATGTTGTCCTAAAATTGTTACGAAAGTGCTATAAGCACTAATTTTTCGAAAGTAGCTTTCATCAATTCGACAACTTTGAATAAAGAAAACACGCATATGTCCCAGAATGAAAGTATTTTGTTCAACAAGTGCATTAAAATAAAGCTGTGAAAGCTGCCTCGAAGTACGAAGAAAAATGTAATCATCCCATGCTTTGTAGGGATTGTTTGTTCAAAAGCTATAAATTTGGAATGATTTTTTGGTTACTATCGATAATTCATCATTACTAGCGTTTGTGGAAGTCCACATCAATCATTCGAAAAAATGAAAAATACATGCATGTTATATCTAAACATCAGAAGTGCCTCTAAAAATCTTTTAATTTAGATTATGTTTTACCAGGTAGGGCTATCATAATTTATACACAAATACTATCGTCAATCTGGACTTAATAAATTGATAAAATACAACTCAGTTAACTCATGATCTGAACTGTCAAAATCTGACATTTTCCAAACAATGAAAACCTCTTATTCATTCCAAAGGCTACTCAAGTAGTTTGAAATATTCATAACATTTTGCTATCCTGAAGTATGTTTGTCCGCCGATTTCGCAGGTTGCTTACAATTTCTTCTCAACTTGAATTCGATAGCTCTTCCGGCCCACACCTTTCTTTGCTGTCATTTTCTGAATCCTACTCGAAGTTATTTTCATACACATTCTTCTGTAATTCTTCTTCTTGACTCGTGGGTTGTTCAAAAATTTTGGGTGGATAAAGCATATTAAATAGATCTGTACAATCTTTAGAACCGACTAAAATGTATCTATATTGGAAACTGCTTAAGAATTAAACCTTTTCAAAGCTTTCTTTCTTATTCATTGACGTATAAATGATACTTTCTCTGCTGCCAATAATTCAGCCTTTTATAAATGGAACACCACAAACTAGGAACATATGGACTCAATTCAGGGAACACACATACTAAATAATATTCTTCATCTTTTGATTGCCAATGAATTTATAAAAGTTTGTGATACAGTCAACAAAACCAACAAAAGAATTCCTTGTAACAATATTATTCAGTTTCATAAACAATAATTATGATGTATTTTCCCTGAGAAGATACAATTCTGAGAGATTAATTTTTGGAAAGTGGTAAGTGGTCTACATCATGCGATCGTGAAATAATTGACTTTTCTAATTTGAGTGGTCGTATCTCCGAAAGAAGACCGCAGCGGCA